GTGTGTCAGCGCCGGGAGAGACATGCAGCCACGCGCGCCCGGGTCCTACAGAGCTGCAGGAGCCTCAATCGTGCGGCCGGAGGGCGGGGCCGCCGACCAGGGCTGAGGGGCGGGGCTCGAGCCAGCGTTCCCGCGTTGGGGAGCAGGTCCTGCAAGCTTTGGTAACAGCCGAACCCAGCGCAGGCTGGGCTCCAGCCCTAGAAAAAACCTGACCCCGCGGCTATTCTCAGTTTAAGAAATTACCTTGGAGACTTTTAAAATCTGCTTTGAAAAAGCGATGCTTAGGTACTGCCAAGACCACTCTTTTTCTGTAGCTTCACAGTCCTGAGCGAGTGGCGCGAAAGTGGTTGGTGTGGCCCCGGGGCTATAGGCTGATTTGCATGAATTGCGGGCGCGGAGAGGAAAAGTGGGGACCGGGGTGGGAGTATAATGGGGAGCAGCGCGGAATGGCTCTGGTCAGACGCCCCGCCACTTAGCACTTTCAATGCTGCATGCGGTTTACATTGTTTAAAAAAGAAAAAAAAAACTATACGAATTCCACTCTTTCTGAGTCGATTTACTTGCCCCCGGGTGCGTAACACCTCTGATCTGGTAACCACACCATTTTCTGAAGCAATACAATGAGTTAAATCCGATCTTTCCAGAAAGCACGGGAGGCTGACTCGTTTTACCTAAGACTTGTGGTTTTAAAAGTAGAAAGTCTCTGCAGTTTAGTAAGGACTTGTCTAAAGGATAATAAAGGTTTTTATCTGTTGGGGACGGAAGTTGAAGATGGTTAATGTGGCTTGGAGGGCTTTCCTCTTGTCAGATTTTAGAATGCCTGAGTCAGAATGAACCAGAGATTTTCCATTGCCCTTCATATCAAACCTGATATTAGCACAAAACAACGAAATAAACCATGAAGCTTTTTTTTTCTTTTTTGAGGGGAAAGAACAAAAATGATTGCTTTTAGAAGACAAATTTTCAAAATCGGGTTGCTTTAAGAGCCCCTAATTACAATCTTACAAGTGTTTGAAATGAAAAAAGTTGTTTCCTCCCTTAATTTGAAGCTTGTCCTCAGAATAATTCCTTTCATTGAGTGAAAGTGTGGACACCCTGTCTTCTGTTTTGAATGTATTGTATACAAAAACCTGTGAACAAGTAAATAATGCAGGAGAACAATGGATGGAAGGAGTTTTCAAGTCTTTCCTAAGTATGCCTGCCCCAGTGCCTGGCTCCTGGTCACTCTGACCTGTGCTTAAGACAAAGAACTCCCAGTCTGGAGGGTAGGCACCAGGAGGAGAGGCTGTTGGTCTGCCTGGGGTAAATTCCTGGCAGTCACAAGGGCCCTCAGCAAATATTTGTTGAATTAGTAAGCAACTGAATGAATGATGAGCAAAAATTGTCATTAGTGTTCTTGCGAATATGGTTTCATGCTACTAAAACTAAATATATGCGAATTTGGTATTGCAAATGCATAAAACAGAGGAAGATGAAGTCATGTTGCCTGTGTAAGGTTATGATAGGGAAATTCTAGTCCTCCCGGAACACTAGAGAATGATTTGGTTTAGATGGTTTGGTTTATTTTTTTGTTTTGTTCTGTTTTTATGGAGAGATCCCTGGTCTATCAGTCTTTTTCAGAAATCAAGAAAAGGCAAATTAAAACAAGGAGATAAGTCTCCACTTAAACAAAGCCTGATAAGACCAGGTGTTTGATAAGAATTGGGGAAACTCCCTACATGAAGTTAGTGTAAATGATTAACTTTGGAGAGCAATTCAGAAATATTTAGTAAAATCCAGTGAAACCACTTTAAGATACATACTCCAGAGCACTTTTTCACACTGCAGGTTCAAACCTGTTGGTAGATTGCAAAATCAATTTAGAGAGTTGCCACTAGCATATTTTTTCCCTCTGTGTGTGTATACTTCTTTTTAGCTTTTTAAATTTTATTTTATTATAATTGTTAAACACTTCTCATGATATCTGTCCTCTTAAAGTTAAGTGTACAATACGGTATTGTTGATTATAGGTACAATGTTGAATAGCAGATCTCTAGAATTTATTTACCTTGCTTTATAGAAACTTTATGCCCATTGGTTACTAATTCCCCCTTTCCTCCTCCCTCCAGCCCCTGGCACTCACCACGCTACTGTTTGATTCTATGAATTTGATTATTTTAGATATCACTTGTACGTGGAGTCTTGGAGTATTTGTCTTTCTGTGCTTTTTCAATAAACTGGACTTTGAGAGCAGTTAAGTCTGGGCATTATTTCATGAAACATTCGTTTCACTTCTGTGTGTTTTTGTGTGTGCTGTGTAAAATGAATTCTATACTGCGCTTCATCACCCGTTTTCCTGGTATGGTCCTGGAGAAGGTGCCTGCTAAGTCTTGTACATGTGGTCTTTCACTCATTCAGTCAAAGATCGCTGAATGGGTGTGGTGCAGATGCTCTTCTCAGTACTGAGGACAGGGATTTACATTCTAGAGGAAGAGAAGTAAACAAAATGGTTTTCGATGTGATAATTAATTCAAAAAATAAATAAAAGCAAGGTGAAGACAAAAAGTAGGATAAGGGCATAGGAAATGAGAGGACGAATTTAGATGAATTTAGATAAGAAAAATGGGGAAAGGCTTCTCTGAGGAGGTGATAGCTGACCAAGAACCTGAAAGTTGTCAGGCAGGAAGCCACAGGAAGGGAAGTGCTGGTTCCAGGCCCTGCGAGAGCTCTTGAGAGGCTCTCAGTAATACACAGCAAGGAGCCCAGGGCTCTATGTTACCCAAAGCTTGGGCAAGAGAAAGACAAAGGGCAGGCCGCTTGGGACCCTCTTAGCTTTGGGAAGAGCTTAGGGTTTATTTGAGGTACGAAGGAAAATCACTGAAAGACTTTAATGAAAGGGCCAATCTAAACCCAGTGGCTACCTGTGTTGTAAGCTGAAGGGGAGCTAAGGGTGAAAGTTGGGATACCCAGGAGCTCCTGGAGGAGAAAATGATGGCTTAAATTGGGATAACTGTGGGATGGGGACAAGTGGTCAGTTAAATCTTCGATGGTGTATTATTTTGAAGTTAGACATCACTGGACCCGAGACTGGAGTGAGTGCTTCATTGATTGTCACTGTTATGTGTCATAGTAAAGTAACGTATCTACCTACTTGCCTGTCATAGGGAAATGGACAGTGGAATATTCATATAATGGAGTTTGAGGTATAGTTCAAATGAATGACTTCGCTTACTTACCATAGAGAAATCTAAGCAATGTTGAATGAAAAAGCGAATTGCAAGCATGTCTGTGAAGTATACTCCTTACGCAAATTCTAAAAACCCAAAACATATATTAAGTCATGAAAATATAAAAACATGGCTAAGCAAGATAGGACAGAGGTTAATTCTGAGAGGAAAAGACAGAGGAAGGACAAGAGAGTAGGGCCTTTGATGCTCAGTGCTTTTTTAAAAAATAAACAGTATAAAGCAAATATGGCAAATTGTTAAATGTGGGAAATGCAAGGTGACTGCTATTTTTATTTTCTGTGCATTGTTTTTTATCTCAAATAGTTCATTTTTTAAGATGTTCAAGTTTTTAATTATTCATTCTTCTAATCAGTATACATATAATTTATATGTATGTGTGTGTGTGTATGTATATATATATATATATAT